CAGGGACGAGGCAATGCTGTCGCAGAGTGCAGTGGGCAGGGCATGAGGCCGTCTGAGCAGGTGAGGACAGGGGCAGATGACTGGCACAGCCGGTCTGCTCTGAGGGGGACACAGATACCCCACACTTCCCGAGTGGGCCGAGAGTGCCATCTCTGAACGTGCATTGAAGAGAATCGGTTTTATTGAGAAGCTTTCAAGCGGAGTCGTGGTTACGCATTAGACTGCAGTTCAAAACCACCAGCCGCCTCCCGGGAGAAAGAGGAGACTTTCTACTCCCGTAAAGAGTCACAATCTCGGAAACTCACGGGGGTGGTGGAGTTCTACCCTGTCTCAGAGGGTCGATGGTCGCTAAGGGCCAGTATTGACCTGATGGCAGTGAGCTGCCCTTCAGTTGGCAACAGCTTCACATTAAAAAAAAAAAGAATTTCTTTTGAGCCAAACGGAATCCCTGGACCTGTGGGCAGGTGTGACCTACAGGCTTCTCACCTGCAAACTCTGGGCCCCGAGCAGCTGACACGTGTTTGCAACATCAAACAGTCAATAGCACCTTCCCCACCTGTCGTCCTGGTCACCCCGGAGGTGGGCGTCAGTCACGGCTCCCATTTTATCGATGAGTCAGGAGAGGCCCTGCGGGAGGGAGTCAGGGCTTTCCACTGCCGTAAAGGGTTGCAGTCTGGAAAACCCACGGGGGTGGTGGTCCTACCCTGCCCTCTAGGGGCACCCTGCGTCGGGAGCCACCCCACAGCAGCGCGAGCTCTTTGGCTTTTTGTTTAGTTCACAATGTCACCTGTCTATCACCGAGTGTCGTGCTGAAACCACAAGCCACGCCTTCGTGCGGGTCAGTGAGGAAGCCTGGTTCACTGCAGATGGGTGGCTAAGCACCAGCCGGCCCCGTGAGAGACAGGGACCCGCCAGACCTGTGGCCAGCACCTTGGAAGTGGTGGGGACATGGGACTTGGCTCACTACGGAGGACAAGTGAGCACAAGCTAGGCGGTGCGTGCCTGGCTGCATGCTCTCTCAAGCGGTCGGTCGTCCAGCAGCCATTTCCTTTGTCCACCGAGTGCCTTGGTGAGTCACTGGGGCTGAGGGGCTGTGGGCTCTGCGGTGGCTGCCACCAGGGGTACCTGCTGAGGCCCTCGAGCAAAACCCAAAGGTGCTGCCCTGAAGAACTTGCCCGGAAACTTGCCCAAAGCCAAGCTCTCCAAAGAAAAACTCACCTGCCAGTGTGTTCATGCCGACTCATAGCCACCCTCTCGGACAGGGCAGAACTGCCCCTGCGGGTTTCTGAGACGGTGGCTCTTGACGGGAGTAAAATCCCTGCCGCCTTTCTCTCTCAGAGGGGCTGGTGGTTTTGAACTGCCGACCTTGTGGTGAGCAGCCCAGCTTGTAAGCAGGATGTCGTATGACCCAGGTTCCACTGCTGTGCGCATGGTGCTGAGATGGGGCTTTCCTTTTGACTGATGTGGTGGCCACGTGGGGCTGTCGTCCTCCTGCATGGCGGCAGGGGTGGTGGTGGTGGTGGCGGTGGTGGGGGTGGGGGCTTCTCTAGCCTTGTCTGCATGGAGACACTCTTCCTGCCGGAACATGGAGGGACAGGGTGGTGATTCCAGCCACCAGCAGCAGAGGCCCAGGGCCGTGAGGCTGGTGGAAGCCAGGGCCAATGACCTGTGCCAGGTCCTGTGTCAGTGGGGACAGGCAGGGGCACAAGAGATTGAGGCTTGGCCCTGGGGTATTGCAGCCCCCGGGGGGCACCTCACTTCCCTCCCACTGGACTCAGGTGCCCAGGGCTGTCAGGGATGGGCAGGCAGGGATCCGGGATGGTGATTAGACTCCTTGGAAGGCCCCCAGTGGCCCACTGTGTCCGCCTGTCCGTCTGTCCGCCCCGCAGGCAGCCTGCCCTACGAGTACAAGATAGTGATCGCGGGCAACCACGAGCTGACCTTCGACCAGGAGTTCATGGCTGACCTCATCAAGCAGGACTTCTACTACTTCCCATCGGTGTCCAAGCTGAAGCCCGAGAACTATGAGAATGTGCAGTCCCTGCTGACCAACTGCATCTACCTGCAGGACTCCGAGGTCAACGTGCGCGGCTTCCGCATCTACGGCTCCCCCTGGTGAGTGAGCTTGCTGAGCCTGTCTCTCACTGGAGGACGGGCACTCCTCCCTGCCCTCTGCCAAGTACCGTACTGCCTCACGTACAGGCTGGCGCCCTGTGGTCTCCGTTTCCTAGAGGAGAAAACTGAGGCCCAGGCTGGTCAGGACCTGGCTGAAGGGCACACAGCTAGGAGGGGGCAGAACCTGGATTCAAACCCAGGCAGATGGAAAACCCTGGCTTTCCATCAGTACCCGCCGACCTGGAAGCTACTGCGGGTTCGCAGACACTAGCATCACCCCCCCGCCCCCCCGGCCCCCCAATAAAGTAAGATGGCCACCTCAACCTCAGGGATGGTTCTGGTTTCCCAGTGCAGATAAAGCTGCCCTCTGTCCACACCGGGTCGGGTGGCGCCGGCATGGTGTGATGGGTTACACTCGGGGCCACTGACCGCCAGGTCGGCAGTCTGAAGCTGCCCGCCTCTCTGTAGGAGAAAGACGAGGCTTTCTGCCCCTGTCAAGAGTTCACAGCCGCGTGAACGCACAGGGGGCAGTTCTGCCCTGTCTGCTGGGCTCGCTGGGGATGGCAGAGAGCGTGAGCAGTGAGCACCTCTCAGATGTCTCGTTAGGGGCCGTCCAGCGGTCTGACTCATAGCGACCACAGATGGACGAGAAGGAAGCACACCTGGCTTCGGGCCAGCCGGGGTCATTGTTGAGCCCGGTGGTGTTACCCCTGGGTCAGCCCACCTTGTGGAGGGTCCTCCTCTTGACCCACCTGCAGAGCTACAAGGTCCCCAGGACTGTCATCTATAATGGGATAGTGGTTATGTACCGGGCTACTAACCTCAAGGTCAGCAGTTCGAAATTCCATCCCCTCTGAGGGAGAAAGGGGCGGCTCTTTATTCCCCTAAAGCGTTCTGGTATCGGAAACGCACAGGGCAGTTCTGCCCTCCTAGAGGGTGGCAGTGCGTCATCAACTCCATGGCAGTGAGCTTGGCTGGGTCAGGGTCCCCTCTGATGGGCTGCTAGCCGTAGGCTCAGTAGCAGTTCAAAGCCACCAGCTGCCCCTCAGGGGAAAGATGGGGCTTTCTACTCCCATCAGGAGTCACAGTCTCAGAAACTCCCAGGGGCAGTTGGACCCTGTTCTAAGAGGGTCGCTATGAGTCGGCATCACCCGGGTGGCTGTGGCGTTTTGCTTGGGAGTCTACGAAATGTGTGGACGCAGGCTGCGGAGGTTTGACATAGAGTGGGAAGGCCCAGGGTGGGACACAGACGTGCGGTGCCGGAGACAAAGTGAATTCTCAACTCACTGCCGCGGCGCTGACTCGGCCTCACCGCGACCCGATAGGACAGGGCAGAGCCGCCCCACAGAGACCGTCACTCTTTACGGGAGTAGAAAGCCCTGTCCTTCTCTTGGGAAGTGGCTGGTGGTTTCGAACTGCCGACCATGCAGCTAACAGCCCAACAGGGCACCGATATACTCCCCGGGCTTCTCCTGGCAAAGTGAAGGGCAGCTCAGCAAGGGGCGCCTCTGCTCTGTGGTGCTGGGGTCCCTGTGTCCCCCCCCAAAAAAACCAACAGACAAAAGGCCCATCAGAGGCCAGGCAGATGGAATGTGCTGAGGGCGGGTGCCCAGTGTTGACACAGCCGGTGTTTGAACAGGGGCACATGCGGAGCGCTGGTTCTCTGCCGGGACACAGGAATTCGGCTGGGACTCAGAGGTCACCTGGCCGTGGGAAGGTCGCTGCTCCTCCATGTTTGGGCAGGCGCTCTGGAGCTCTGGGCAGCAGCTGAACCCCGGGGGGCAGTCTTGGTGAAGAGAGTACAGAGTGAGCTGCTGGAGGCCCATGCGGGCTTGAGGCTGGCCGGGGAAGCAAAGGGCTTACACGGGGTTCTGAGTTAGCTATGTGACCCTACTGGGAGAGAGGCTTTCCTCTGTAGGAGTGCTGTCGGGCCGGGGGTGCCTTCCAGGGCATGGCCACTGGCTTGGGGGCCGAAGGGCCACCTTGCCATGTCCACTACGGGAATCCATGTTCTTGCCCGGCGTTTCCTCCTGTGTGTGAGAGGCGAGAGCAGGTGGCGCTCCTGTGGTCTCAGTTCTGGGCGCACACAGATGTCCTTAGCTTGGGATTGTTTGGAGGGGTTCCGAGGCTGTACATCTTGAGGGAAATGGACAGCCTCAAATTTCTCCTAAGTAGCGGCTGGTGGGTTTGAACTGCCAACCTTGTGCTTAACGGCCCAGTGCTGAGCCAGCAGTGCCAAAAGGGCTTCAGGGCTTCAGTGGCACATCCAGGATGTAGCTATAAACAGGGGTGCTCTGGACTCAGCTGCAGCAGGCCACCCGCCCACCCGTCCACCCCTTCAACAGCGGGCATGCGTTCTGGTGCGCCACGTGTACTGAGCTCCGTGCCCGGCAGAGGATGTGCCGGATAAGCATCGTTTTCTCCTTTCCCCGACCACAGACGTGTTGAGCTCCAGAATGTATGTTCCTTGTAATCCACCCACCGGACCCAGTGACAGATACGTACTTGGTATTTCTCCCGAGTCTTTTTTCCCTTGTCTTCTGTCAGTTCATCTGTCCGCCGTGATCATCCATTCATCCCTCCGCCCACCTGTCTCCCTGTCGGTCGGTGTTCTCTCTCGCACAACACTTATTCTTTTCAGGTCTGCGTTCCACAATTTGTTGCAGTGGGCACACAGAACAGGCAGATAACATCGGTGATTACAGGGCTTGTTGGAGAAGTTAGGAGGTTACAGGGCAGGCAAGAAAGGCTCAGGATACAGCAGGTCAGACGGGAAGTGCTACAAAGTTCCTTTAGAGCTGTTAGCACAAGCTCAAGGGGCATGCCTGGAAGGCTCAGCCTGCAGGCTCAAGGTCCCAGCTCCCTGAATTAAGTGCTCAGAGCTCCTTCTCCCTCCCCCCTCCCCTCCACAAGCCAGCCTCCTGCACAAAGCCCTCCGCTTAACTTGCTCCGAGGGTTGGGAAATCCATCACTCTGTGCCCTGCTCTGGCTCCTGGTTCTGCTGCTGCCCCTCGGATGGTACGGCTGTCACCTGGATCCAGGAGGGTCACTGTGCAGGGATCTCGGGTCCAGAGGACGCGCTCCACTCCTGGCTCTTGCT